CTAATTGTCAACATAGTTTTAAACCTGACAAATGAATATTTACTAGCTGAATAAAAATCATTGGTATATACATACTTTCTAACAGATGGTTAAAGATAACTAATAAATAATTGAATAACTAGCAAGGAAAAAGGGAAATTTATAAAGTCACCATAAATATTTGTGTTTCATAGAGAACTTCAGAGCCTTCAGAGAACTCTATTATGCTAACTTGAAAGAAGAATCCCAGTGTCAATTTGCTGATATATTCAATATATTCTCTTTAAATGATTTGTGGAGATACATGATGCTTTAGCTTTAAGAAAGATATTAAAACTCTTAAATGCTTAGTCCTCATAATTGATCAAATTATACACATAGAAGATGATTATTTTATCCAAAGTTTGGCATCGGGTTATCAGAGAAGTATGATTAAACCACCCTGGGGGTGGATCCAGGTATTGCAAGGCCTGAAGCTTACACAATTTGGAGGGCCCTCTTTAAAAGAATACAAAAGTACTGATATTTATTTAGGTTGAGGAAAAAAATCACAACAAATTACAAACCTCACAAAAGCCACAAAACTAACATACTTGGATCGATTTGCTGGCTACACACCTCAACTCTTTTCCGCTACAGTTGACTACCTCTTTAGTCTATCCTCTAATATGGGTGATTAAAATGTGTTTTTTATTATTGATAGTTTTTAAAAGTTTATTTCATTTCTGCAACTTGCTACAGGTAATGTCATGTAGGATTTTGGGATTGTTGTCAAATTGGGGAAAACCTCAGTCCGTTTCTTTCACACATGAGCTGTAAAATTTCAAGTCTTCTTGTGGAGTGACTAATCCTAAACACTTCCATGTTTTCCTAGTACCTACGGCCACAGGCCACATTGGTTTCTATGGCAGTGTGCTCTCAAGCCCTGCACTTTGGTGGGTCCTTAGAAATAGTGTTTATGGAAGCTGTCCTTATATCAGGACAATTAGTAATATCTTTACAATATACAGAGGTGACTGTAAAACATAATTAAATGCATTCCCAACTCAACTTTGGCATGGCTGAAGGGAAAAACGAGTCTTATTAGAATAAGCCCTGCAGAAAGATTCCTGGCCCTCTCTGCCCTTGGACAGTCTAGTGGTTCTCATGGTCATTGCTGACTTTCAAGGCCCAGCGTCAGTGATGAGAGAAGAGGAGCAGTAAAAGCAAGCAGAAGACAGTAGAACAGTTTCCCTCCAGCAATACAAGCCCCTTCAAGTTAAAGAAGAAAAGCTGTTCTCTAAACCCATGAAAACAGTGCCCTCCAGACTCCCTCCTACCAGCATTCTCTGTTCACCAGTTCAGTTTGGCCAGACTAAAATTAAAACCAGAAAATGCCATGAGAAATAGAAAGATAAAAGCCCCAAGTGGACATCCATTTCCCTGGGGTGTGATCGAATGAATACAACCAAATCTCTAGTGGATCCATGGTCCCCATCTTCTGGAGGAGCTCTTCTAAAAGCAGCACATGCTGGAGATGGCAGAGATGAAAGGGACACTCTATTCTGTCCTAGGAAGAAGATGAAGCTGGCAGTTTAGACTGCTGAAAAACAGTTTGAGATAAGCTTGTAGTTCCATAGAAATTAATCCGTGCCTCTAGATAGCAGGTAAGCCTATTGGAAAGCTTCTTCAATTCAAGCAGTTAATAATATATCAAGTCTTGTAGCTTAAGGGATACAATTTTCAAAATTATTGTACTGAGGGAATCATAAATTCCACCAAGAGGAAGGTTGTAGTCCAGATATTTTATTTTAGATTTCCATCTAGGGTGCATTACGACACGCCACATGAAAGTCAAATCGTCCATGTAAAATGGTTTCCAGGTGATAAGTTTACCCCAAGGGGTCCAGTAAAGTAATACATTCAGAGTTATATCTGACTTTCACAATCTATAAAGACTAGTTATCAATTTTTTGAAAGATTTGATAAGCAGGAACAAAAAAATAGCTTATGGATGCTGACATTTGTCTCATTAATGGGAACAGCATAAGAAGTGCAAGCTCCTTCTGGATTTGGCTGTAAATACACCACTGACATACATTTTGGAAGGTTGCTATTTTGTGCTGGTGGGAATGTATTTGTCTAACCTTGCACTGACTATAATAGACATAAGGAAGTAGTGATATTACTGTCAGCCACATTCAGCTTTTTAAAACAGGGGCACCCACTCTGCCAATAATCTGTCAGATTCCAGGCCACTGCATATTAAAAATTATGTTCCATCAACACTGGCCTATTGGAAGTTTTATTAGGAAATAATTCTCCTGTTGTGTTTGGGGAAGGAAAGAAAAAAAAAAAAAACTCCACTTCACCCAATAGGATTCAAAGGGATAATTAATGTTCCTTCCATCCTCAGAATAGGAATGCTTTGACTTCCCCAGTGTTTCATGTGAATGCCACTACCCCTCCTTGCAAGGGCAGAACTGAAATACTGGTGAGAAACAGGCAGGGGGCCCAGGTACTAATTAATTGCCTGTTTGAGCGTTGCCTATCTGTAGCATCATTCTGTGTATTGTAAGGCATTATTTTCATAAGTTATTCCCGTTACCAGGGAAAAAGAATTACCTTCTTTTTTTCAAGAAGACAAGACTGGTAAGTTTGCCGAAGATGGTTATTGAAACAATAATAGTAATAACAAAGTGCTTACGCTTGCTTGGCTTTGGTCAAGCTTTCTAAAGTGCATTCCTGGGAGGGTGCTGACTACCCAAACCGTGGGAGAAATGTCCTGGGCTGCCTGCATCATCGCTCGAGTTCATAAGGTGAGACACAAGGAATGGTGACACTCTTCGCCTGTCCAGAGTTCAAAACTAAACCCATTTTTCAAAAAAACTCACCATGCATTTGAATGAAAGTATATTGCAGTAATATTTCATTTATCTACCTAATGCCATCAGTAAATGGGTTGTTTTCTGCAAAGGTAAGTCTTCCAAAATAATTAAGTGATATTTTTATTTTATCCCATTCAGTGCAACCATATTGCATTTCAGCCTTTCTAAAATAACTGCTTC